GGCGGTGGTGGCGGGGGTGGCGGTGGTGGCGGTGGTGGCGGTGGTGGCGGGGGCGGGGGCGGGGGCGGGGGCGGTGAAGAACAAGGTCCCTATAACAGTGCCCCATACATACCCCTCAAAGGGTTTAGACTGTAGCTCATGTGGTCTCACTAAACGCGATACAACGCAAGCTTGTTCTCGTTGGGCGCTGAAGGGCTTAGGGTTCACCATGCGACCAAATCTCCAAGTTTGCCACACAAGACGAACAGTCAACCTACAGAGCTTCCCGTTTCAGCAGCGCAGGGAAGGGAAGCCTAAACCCTACACCTTAAACGCTAAGCCACGTGACTTGAAACGACGGAGCTTCAACCCAAACCCCTGCCTTCAACCCTCAAGTTAGTGCTGCTTAAGGAGCGCACCCCCCCCACTCTTCCTAAACACTAGTATGTCGGACGGACTAGGGGTGTAGGGCTTAATACCCTAAACCCGAATCCCTAAACCGCTAATTGCTTAGGTAGGCAGCCGTTCTGGTGGAGGAAGTACCGTGCAGACTGCACTGCCGAGTCGTTTTCGCAGCCATCGAAATCAAAGCCCGGGACCTCAGCTGTCTACGAGCTTTACATTCCTCAAACAAACAGGAGGGTTAGGGCTTAGGGTTTATGGTTTGGGGTGTAGGTTTTAGGGTTTACACAAGGGTGCTCCGTAAAGCCAGGTCTTGCAGCATTTTCCGTTTATTTCCGGAGGATGGGATTGATGCGTAGAAGCACCTGCAGAGCGCTCCAGAACCGCACACCCAATCCAAGCCCTAAACTTAAACCCTACACCCTAAACCCCAAAGCCACACCGAACCCAAAGGTCTGAGCATTGCTGATCATTACTGGGTTGCTGTTCAAGTGAGAAAACAACAGCCCAGGTTAAATCCCTAGTGAGCCGGCTTTTGTTAGTGTCGCAATGAAGTAAGATTACATTCCTCTCATATAGCAGCAGTAAGACAAGAGAGATGAGTTGATCTTACCCTGTATTGGGGTCTGTGGTATCCCCACATACTAACTTTCACATATACAATCCCTATATAACCCCGTTCATATTATATGGTGGTATCCAGGTCATCTTCATTGCTTTCTGCAGTATTCTACCTCTTCAGTGTGACCAAGAAACCCAGTCGTAGGCTGCCTCGGGGGCAGCCGGAAATCCTCTTAAGTGCGCAAACTGCCTCGACAGGGTGCAAAATTGGAAGCAGAGCGAGTTTACAGTTTACAGGTTGTGACGGTCAATACTTGTTCGATTTGTCCGTAGATATACTTGGGGCTCTACGCAAACCCACACCCCCCAAGCTAGCTGTACGTAGCGAGCTACCTCAATTCTTCACAGGGGTACATTTTGCTTGGTGAATGAAATACCCTGGTAAAATACAGAAGTTTCCATCTTCGTCCATTGTCCACTGTTCCTATAAAGCCCCTAGCATCAAAAGTATTGGGCCCACTTCCGCGAGCATGTGGCCGCCGTATTCGCATCAGGTCAGTTTGCTCCATCGAGCCTGTGACAGCACGGAGGGGCAGGCAATGACTGGGTGGGAAGCATCGGTGCTGCCTTGACATCATCCACGGTCGTGCCGATAGGCAGGTGGAGGTCCACCGAGGCGCGCCACTCCGCAAAAACCTTGACGGTCATCCATCCTGAAACTGAATCAAAACCTGCAGGTAGACCGGCTGTTCTTCCTTACATGTTCACAGGTGATGGATGCGCTCCTCTGGGCTGCTGCATCTGGGCCATGCGCGGCAAATCCTGTACCAAGGCAAAGACTTTCGAGAAGCCCCGAGCCGAAGCGGCTGCTTTGCGGTGCAGGGTGCGAGTCCTCGACAACAGTACTTGCAGGGGGACAGCTGGAGTCTCGCAGGGAAGCTACTAGAAGCATATTGGTCATTTTTTGCCCTTCGGAACTTTGCTGTCGCGTACTCTGCTTAGGAGAAACTCTCGAAAGGTTTCACGCCTGGAGTTGTTGGTGTTTTGCGTGCTCAGTCCGTGTTCTTGTGTAACCTGCACGAAGTTTGCGAGTCTGCTTCTCAGTCGTTCTATGACTTGCTGCGTGAGGCGCGGACCGTGTGTGACTTTTACATGAAGAGGCGTCTCCAGAGCGTGATCCAGGACCTTTGTCTTCACATTTTGTGGTTCTCAGGCAACGTGTATGGTCATGCTACATATGCTCCATATAGGCCCGCGACTGCGTGCCTTCGGGTCGGGTGTGTTTTGACTTGAGAAAGGGTCGAGCAGCTTCCTGCAGGTGCTTGCTTGGCTGCTTATATGCGAGATCGTGATTGCACAGCACGTGATTGCACACATGGTCATCGATGTGTCAGGGCTACCGTGGTCAGGTGATTGTTGCGCGACTGGAAATTTTGTTATCTAAGTTATGTGCTACGACGCAGAGAGAATATCTGGGTTCCTCTTCGGTGTAGCCGAGCCACAAGGTGGCATCGGACCTGAGGTCTCGGACAAGTTTATTGTGGAGCAGTGCGTCCAGTTCATTCATGAGCTTTGTCCCAGTCCTTAGCCGTGCTCCAACCCACGGACAGAGGAACTGAAACAGGCAAGCAAGAAAATGTTGTTTCTGCTGGTTTGTGCACGCAAGCAGGTGGACGGTTGAGATTCCCGCCCATGGCGTCCGGCTGTTTTTGCCCCGCCAGCTATGACGAAGTTGACAAGGAAGTCGGCGGCCTGTCGCACAATGCGAGCATTCGGGTATGCGGCGTTCAAACTTATAGTAGGTTTGTTTTTTTGATCATATGTCACATACTTTGTGGCATGTGCCTCTTTGCCCAAAACGACTCCTGTCGGTGGGATCCAAATTCTTCCTAGTTGTCCGACGCCGCAGTTCTGCAACCATGGAACCTGACATGGTGGGGGGGCTGGCAGTTCAGACGGCACAGCAAGTGGCCGGCTCGGGGTCTCTTGCATTGATGACTTTAACTCTTCTGCAGGAGAGTGGCAACCGCCTTGAGTGTTTTTGCCCATGGCCCAGGACAGTCAAAGACGACCATGCTTCGCAGGAGTACCTTGCTGGAGGCGCAGTCCATATGGCTGATCTCCAGCGCTCGTCGCATGCGCCGTAGTGCGGTCAGGAAGAGCTCGGTCGGGAATTTCTTCCGTGCATCCATTGCCTAAGCGCGCAATGTGCTTGCAATGCTGCCCCATGCGTCCCAAGGCAGGCTTACCCTAAACCCGTACCAAAACCCTAACCCCCTAAACCCTAAATCGCGAAACCGGAAACCCTAAAACCTAAAAACCCTAAAACCCTTAAACCCTAAAACCCTAAAGTCCTAAAACCCTTAGACCCTAAAACCCTGAACCTTTAGGGTTCGTGCATAGGGAGGCCACAGTCTGAGGGAGCAGGCACTCTTTCTGGAACTTACCTTGGCATTCATACCCTGCCCCTGCTTTGGGTTTAGGGCTTAGTGTTTTGGGCACCTAAGGATTTACGGTCTGTTTTGGGCACCTAATTTTGCAATCCCCTCCCACTCATATTAAACCCCCTAACATTAAATACTCCCAACATATTTTGATATACTACACTGGCAAGTATTGAATATTCGGGTAGGGGGGGGGGTGGGGGGTTTAATATTGGAGGGGGGGGTGGATTATATGAGCTATAGTCTAAACTCATAAGTATCCCCCTATTCTGGCTCGCTCATATAGGGGTACCAGACATGAAGTTGGGCATCCTAGACTACGTGGCAATTAGGACCCCTACTAAGGGTTAACCCTGAATTACCTATAATAGAATATAAGGAAATCCAAAGGGTCAAGGGTCTAAGGTCCAAGCTAAGTCCCAAGGAGTAGAAAAGGGGCAGGGTATGGATGTTTTGGGCAGTGTAATTTGAATGGTCAAGACGAGATTAGCGTGTGCTCGAGATTAGCGTGTACTCAGGCCTTCAGACCCCTCTACCGGGCCCTTCTTGCAACAGAACGCTTGTTTCCAGGAATGCAGGACAGCAATGGGTTGCAGCATACGGTTCACATGAGCTATAGTCTACACTCTTAGTATCCCCCTTACTAAGCCCTACAGTAGTCCCCTATATGCTCCCCTATATAACGCCCCTTTAAGGAGTTTAAACAGTGCTTCACATGAAGATCCAGAGTTCCCAAGCCAGGTTGCAAGCAACCATTCTCGTTTCCATGGGTTGATTTCCGAAGACCCAGGGAGTCTAACACTTCTTGATTAAAGAGTATGGGGTTCTCCAAAATTATGGGTACCTTTTAGGGGGCCCCTAGCACAATAAAGATTGTATTTTTTTTTGGTATATGTTAGTTGGGGCCCCCTCTTCATGGAAACTGCCATATACCCTATACTGTATGAAGCATCCTGATACCATCAGCATATCCTAGACCCCAAACCCGAATTGAACAGCATTGGGTTCTCTTGGAAGTCGGCGGGACAAACTTGAGGCTTCAAACCCCCACCCACCTCTACACCCCGAACTTGCACTCCCCCAAACTGACAGGGAACCTGAAAAGGGTGGCTTGCGGACCAGTGGTAGTGATAGCAACAGCTCTAATAGGAGTGAGACCAAAAAGAAGAAGAATCCTAAAATAAGAGCAAAAAAAAGTAAGAGTACTACCTGGAGTAATAATAGTAAAAGTATAATCCCCTTAAGTCGATAGAATATGGCTTTGGGTATATTATAACAAGATCCCCATATACCTCATTTTCTACCTACTTAAGGGGGACTATAACTATAGTAGTGTCCCATATGTTAGTTTGAGGAGGGTAGCTTCCTTCGATGGTTCTTAGTAGGGAATAAGGGATAATGGACAAGGAAATGGAAACTACTATATTATAATAGGGTACCTATTGGGGTTGTAGTAGGGTATAAGGCAAAAAGTTCTCTTATATATCTTCCCTATATACTAGATTCCCTCATTCCCTACGAGAAACAAGCAAGGTCATGCACGGATCTGGCCCATGTCCGTCTACATATCATCACAGGCCTTGCTGGAAGGACACGGCCCTCTATGGAAGGAAATGTAGATGCCCCAAACCCCCAGACAAGTTTGAAGCAATTGGGTCTGCTATGCCGGTCCGTATCGCCTACACCCCGAGGCCCTGAATCCCCTGAACAAAGAACCCTAAACCCTTGGAACCCTAAACCCTAGGAACCCTCGAACTTGTGACTCTTTAATTCTTAGGGAATGGAGGAATGGATCCTTCAAGTAGCCGTTAAAGAGCCTCTATACTACCCCCCATAAATATAGATTCCATTTTCTTTTTCATTATCCCTTGCTTCCTACTAACAACCAGCAAGGAAACCGCAAGCACAAAGGCTCCAACTAAAGGATTGGCATCTTGCCTATTCAGCAGCACGCGGTAACCCACGAGATCCTGGGCCCTCAGCAAGAACCTGTCAGGGTCTAGGTCTTATACTCCCCCTTAGGCAGATAGAATATAGTTTTGGATGTATTATAAAAAGATCCCAATATGTCCCATATTCTATCTACTTAAGGGGAACTATAGGACTTTAATCGCCCCTGTCACCTCCCACAATGCCGGTAGAGACCAGAGTGGTTGGCTTCAGGGTTTGAGGTAAACGCAGTTTCGGGTCTG